TTTTTAGACAGCCGCGACGCACCCTCCCAAGTCTGACTGCACTTTCACACTCCCCGGGGCGATATTAAAGGACGGACGGGCTCCACCGGATCGACTGGGTAGAGCCGCCCGGTTTCAACAACTTTTTACTTTTGCATCAGTTAACCAACAAAACAGGCATCGGGATAAACATCGATAATCAGGCCAGCTTAGCGAGCTGGACAGCGACACAGCGAGGACCACAAGAAGAGCAAACTATATATTCAACTACGATGGCATTCATTTGTCCTCAGCCAAGTTAAAAAAAAATTACTTTAAATAATAGTTATGTTCAGGATTAGGGAGGGTAAGTGTTATAGGTGCCCTAACTACTGTCTTTAGATTCGATGGATTAGCTGTAGGACCCACATTTTCCCTTGACCTTGCCCAGATTTTCCCACCTTAACACGTCACACGGAATCCATCAGCACGTGCCCTTGCATCAATACCCCAGTTTGGGCTGCATCATTAATTTAGAATAAATTTTGCCAACACCCACTCCCTGGACAGCACCTATGTAGGGCCTGCCATTCCGGGGGGGGGGGTTAAATCGCATCCGTTCCGCTAAGGACCCACGTGCCAAGCTCTGAAAGAGGCAGATATCCAGAGGACAAATTTAAAAGCTGTCCTACCTGAGCGCCGATAAGCCAGCAACCGCAGCTGTCAGAGGTGGAGTCAAGGAGATACCCCCCCCCCCAGGGACGCCAAAGACTTGGGGAGGCCCGACAGGGAGTTGCCCAGGCAGGAGATCAGGCCGAGTCCGGAGTCCGCCACAGCAGTGACAGCCAGCCCTGCCTCCCTTTCCCAGCCTCACTCCCTCACTCTCTCCCTCACTCTCTCCCTGCCCCCACCCTCCCCCACCCTCAGACACAGGAATGCCGGTCTGTTGCCGGATGGGTGGTGTTTAAAGTAGAGAGAATAATGCAGAAAGACAATGTCACACCAGCCCTCGGCTGAAAACCACCTAATTAAATTCATCTACGCGAGTGACCCCTCGCACCACAGACCTGGGGGGGGCAGACACCACCCACACCAAGGGGGCACTAATCACGCGACGCTAGATGTTAATACTGCTTGATTACACACCCAGTCAACATTACTATAAACAGAGGTGGAAAATAAAGTAAAATTTTGTAAGATTTTGTTTCAACCAACCACTTGAGTATTAAGAGTCACAGTCACTGAGTACTCAACTAATTGGTTGAAACAAAATCGTGGTCTGGATTACTACTTTTTGGAATGTTCCACTTCTGGCTATAACAGGCCTGCATGGCTGCCCAGAGCTGGGGAGACACATTCCTGACAAGGAAACATGGCGCGTGTGTGTGTGTGTGTGTGTGTGTGTGTGTGTGTCCACACTGCATATGACCGCACAGGAGGGGAGGGATAGAGCTTAAGTACCAATGTCTGCAGCCAGAGGTCAGTGACAGATACTTTTTGTAATCAGTATTGAGGATCAGAAGAGGAGATCCCCCATCAGACTGGGACCCATCCCACAGGCACCCAATCAGGGTCAGGTACAGTCAGGGGGTCCAATCAGGATGAAATATAAGATGTCCAATACAAAGCAAGGTTCAGTCAGCTTGCCCTGGCAGCCAGGGGCAGATGTGACAGCAGCTGGGACATCAGCCATCAAAGGGATTAGAGTCACAGGCGGCTTATTTACAGACCGCCGAGGACGTCCAGTAAGCCACTGTCTGTGTGCGTCAGCCCGCCTATGCAAGTCACAGGTCCAAGAGCCACAGAATCCCGCGCCTGTGGTCTCTGTGCCTGTGGTCTCTGCCCGCGCCGTCATAATAAAGGTCCCACTGGAATCTCACTGCAAATGTCAGCGAAACATCAGAATACTATGCACCGTTATCAAAATAATGCTTTGAAAACCAACATACTCATAATGGATAACTGGCGCACCCTTGTGGATAAACAGTGTAATACGCTCTAGTACTTACAGTCTTATAAGGCATGAATTGAAAAAAGTGCAATAGTGCAATATAAACTAACAAAACTGTATTAAGCGGCATCGTCAAGGCAGCTTATTTACGGCAACACGGCCCCACATGGCCCCCTGCCCACCTGCCCCCTCGAACCCTTACCCAGCCACCCTGCCGAATGATGTAATCAGCCTCAGCCTCTTCTAAGTAGTGCACTCCCAAAGGGACCAGTGTTTCCAAGGGCTGGTTCTCCTCATGGAGGGCGTGCAGCAAAACCAAGGGCACTAGGACCTGTGTGGGGGGGTTGATGTCACTAAGGGCTCCATGGCAATGCCAGGGAAGGCCAATATGGCCACTCTTCATGGAGGGTCGAGAATGCTGACCTTGGTCCAGCCCCCTTCTGCGTGAGTGGACACATCCTGTACAGCAGCTTTGTAGAGCTCATAATCCAGGGGTCTGCAACACACACAGCTACGTCTTCACTGTGTTCACTCTGCAGAGGCTCTTACACAATTAACAAAGGGACAAGAAGGTCGTGTCTTTAGCATTCGTACTAGCGTTAGCATTCGTACTAATGTTAGCATTCGTACTAGCGTTAGCATTCGTACTAGCGTTAGCATTCGTACTAGCGTTAGCATTCTGGCTAGTTGACAGGGAGGGAATGAGGTACTCACGCACTGAGGAGGGTTTGCAGGGCACGACCCAGATGCTCCTGCAGCTCATGGGCCACGTGCAAGCCCAGCGAGGCGAGGCTCTTCCCCACAGAGCACCGGGGATCTGTTGAGCTGAACCCTAGAGATAGTGGGGGGCAGTCAGATTGTACGCTTGAGAAAACTGAACACACGTCTGCAGGAGGACTGGAGCGTCAGGCGGAAGTTAGACTGATTTCCAATGAGCTGCAGCAGCACACTCACACGTGGAGACACTGCCCTCCATCCGCTGCAGCTCCTCTCGCACCTCCTCCGTGATCCGGCAGCGCTCATCCTCCCTGTCCTCCGGGACGGACCGGGCCTCTGCTGCAGGGGGCACATCCGGGCAAGACGGTGTCACCCGCAGAGTACAGAAGACAGCAGCTTCAGCAAGAGGCATGGGGGGGTTAGCAAGCCCTCAAAGGGTTAATTACAGGGGGAACACTTTGCTTGACGGGGCACAAATAATACAGTACTATGCTATTTCTTATGTATTAATCAACCACAAACTAAGCCTTAATTACAGTACATACTGGTCTAATGTTAATTCATAATTAATGAATTGTGACAGATTTTATCTCAGTTACATTTGTTAAAATATCAGTTATTTCTGTAAGCCTCTGCGAACTACTGAAGGAACAAATAATGAATACGAATAGAATACCGATCTCCTATTTATTCATCATTAATGAATTGCGATGCATCTTTCATCCCAAGCAGTTACTATTTCACTACATCTGTTGATTCTCTAAACCTTTGTGAACTACTGAAGGAACAAGTAATGAATAACACAGGCGAAATACTGACCTCATGTTCGTTCATCATTAATGAATCGTGATGCATCTTTTATCTCAAATGGCGACTATATATGTTCATGAATTATTACTTGTACTTGTATTACTTGTAAGTATTTGTACCCCAGCAATAAAGTGTTGCCATTAAGGTAACCGTTCAAAGAGACAGTGACTGTGTCACAGCCACAGTCGAGCGCCATGCTGCCTTTGCAGGCTGATTGCTGGCTCTGTGCCAGCAGGCCTGTTCGCATGAGATCACGCCTGCAGTGATTCTCCCTGACAGACTGTCGGAACGCAGAGTGACTGGGTGGAAAATGGGGCTCAAAGACTCCCGTCCCTCGCCCACTCGCCGTCATCAGGCGGGATGATGCTGGCAGGCCTCTGAACCTCCAGCAGGCCTTATGACACCCCCCCACATCATCACCTACTGTGGAGGACAGAAACACCTCAACCATAGGTCGCTCAGCACCGGCCCTCAACAATCTTACGACGACAGCACTCGCAGATATTCCCTAACCTGATCTCTGGGTCAGAGTTACTTTCTCGACAACTCTGAGGAACAGAACCATGGAATGCTGGAGAGAATCAGTGTTCTGGTAGCATGGCCACCTTTCATAACTTAAGCACTCCTCCGGCTGCCACAAATTAAGCCACGATAACATTTAAAAGAAAATGAGAGGTTAAATTTCACGCATGAACTGTTTATGGTGGTGTCTGCAGTGATTATCTTCACCTTGGGAGATGTGTGCACGTGCAAGCCTACACGCGCTTTTACAATCCTGTGTGCAAATTAAAAACCAGAAAAACAAACCTTGGCAGGAGACCCATGAGAATGCAAGTTCACTTTTCAAGAGTATGAAGACTGTTTTTGATTTTTGTTTGAGTTTCTAAGGAAATCACAGCCTGCAAGATGTAATAATTGACTGATACCAACGTTTTTAGCATCACTCTTACAAATTGATGCACTTTGTAAATTAAACTGGTCCCCAGTGACCACTGTCTGTGGAGAAACATTACATGACATGTTTCACAATCAGCCAGATAGCTAACATCTATTTTCCCCAGGCACTCACATTACCGTGCATGTTCTCTCTCCCAGCCTCTCATCTTAAATCACTACAGGTGTTTCAAACAGGAACAAGTTCAAACTGTCATGGTACAGCATGCAGGCGGAAACAAGGTACAATGTGAAATAACAACACACTGGGAAATACAACACTAGGACAATTAATATGGAATAAAAGTACAAGCATAACCAGAAGAGAAAAGGACACAAGCAGGGCAAACCTTCAACAGGAAAACAAAGATACATAACAACAGATACTGGTGAAACAGAACCAATAAATAAAAACAAACTGGTGAGGCTGGTTAGCCTCGAACCCACAACCAGAGGGCTTCAGCTTCGGAGTCACACACTCAACCCATAGAGCTATGCAGGCCCAGGGAGCAGGGAAAACACACCAGGGCAGAAGGACTATGAGACAGAGAGGGGAAAAGCAGGATGACCAGCGACACCTACTGGCCAAAAAGGGAAGAGAGCTAAAGGGCAGGGTCGGACAGGCACTGACAAAAACAACTTACAGGAACAGACATCAGTGGGGAGTGGGCCATAATGTGCAAACTATGATAAATATCCGAAGACACTGGGCTATGACTAGCGTACATAGGGATTTTCCACTGTGACATGGAAAGCACAGACAGACGCATCACATGGTCCTTCCCAGGGTCTGACATTCACGTCCAAACCTCACATTCCCATAGACACTCATTTTCAGACAGGATCTTTTCACCAGTTTCCTTAATAAAATCATCCCATCATTTCAGGCTAGATGCTGCAGAGGCGACTGCCTGTCACATGATATGCATCCCCGCCAATCCAAGGTCTTCCTTCACATGGACAGGTCACACTGTGCCATGCCACACAGCTAGCACTGCCTAGAATACCTGGATGTATTACCAGGAACAGACAGGAAACAGTTCGACTCCAATCATAATCAAAAGGTTTTTGATCAAACCTTGTCAAAAATACCTATTTGTCAGAGGCTGAACCCCATGGGCGTAATTACGGGGGGGATGAGGGGGCTGTAGCCCCCCCAATAAATCAAAACCAGCTAATACAACCCCCCCAATAATCATGTTTCCCCCATAATGGGTGGAGACCTCAACCCCCCCAATGTTCCAGCCAAAGTTACGCCCTTGCTGAACCCCACAGCCCCACCCTACAAGACCCTGTCCATCATACTCAGGACTCCCAGCACATGACTGCGGACCCCTCCAACCCACACCGTCTTAGTACCCCCTCACCTGGGAGTTCAGAGGCGCATGCCCCCCCTGGCATGCTGGGCGAGGGCAGACCCAGGTAGCTGAGCACGATGTACTTGGTCTCCAGATGAAAGACCTCGGGCGTGGAGGTGAGGGAGCCAAGGGAAGCCATTTGGGAGCAGTTTGTCTTTCAGGCTTTAAAAGAACCGAAATCAGGAGGAAAGCAGGTGGTGCGTCTCAGGGCTGCGCCAGAGCGTGTCCCTGAAGAACAGGTCATAAAAGGCAAAAAGCAAAATGACCAAAGCAAATGCTGATAGAGAGCGATCGATGGAAATGCCAGGTAGCGCACCGAGGGCGACCGAGGGAAATGCAGCAGTCAGACAAACGGAAAAAACGTGTATCCGCAAAATATATGTTCGGTTCTATTTAATCGCAAAGTTGTGTTGCATTACAATAATACGCGTATAAGAGGTGATATTGCGAGAATGTCACCCAAAAACCGTATTCAGCACTTACTTTTACTATTCAGTAATCTGTTTTCTCAACACAATTTATATTAAAACAAATGAGTGACAAAAACATCATATATTGATGAAAGACCACACAATCTCTCCCCAGCATTTGAAAGCTGTTACACCCCTGCAGAGTTCAGCAAGAGAGAATACCTAGTAAAACCCGCTGCTTATTTTTACGGGCAATGTCCTCAAACACGTAAACATCTTTACGTATAACAGATCATCCAGGATAGATTATATAAAAAGTGTAGCCTAATGATAAATTTCACATTGCTTCTAGATTCAGATATTTCCCATATAATGAAGACAATAAGGTGGCGTTTGGTCGCATACCAGTCAAACGTCCTGCAGCTGAGACGTCATAGTCTCCCATACAAACTTTTATGCTGACTGGCTGCAATCCCCGAGTCCCCATACGCCCCGTAAACATACTTACCTTCAATCTTCGTTTCTCACGATCACTTATAATAGGTTAATAAATACACCTACTAAATTCACTCGTTAGTCCACTTCAATTAAACTAGCGTTAAACAAATGGGAAATACTTTGCGTCCGCTTCAACTATATACTGGAATTAATTTTTCGTATTTCACCCAGTAATCAGCTACATTCAGTCTAAAGGAAAAAAGCCGACGTGTGGCTATAGAGAGACCTACAGTCACTTCGTGAATACGGACACCAGGGGGATCATTCGGGCTCGCTGGGGAAAAGGGCTCAAAGGATGTTAACCACTTTATCACTCGTCTTGATATAGATAAATCCATATACGTTCAATTCCACGAGACTCCCTGCAATATCTGCATAAATCACTAACTTTGCAAAGACCGTGGTAACGCTGTTGAATCGTGATCAATGTTGCACAAAACCCTGAAAAGATTTTAAATAACTTTAAAAACACACAACGAGTAGGTGTGTACTGCCACCACGTGGTTCAGTTTTTTACTGATACTGCTGTATGCGGACATGTACTGAGTAAACTTTACTCATTTAGCCTAATTCACGTGATTTTACTAACTGTCGACTAAGTTATGCGAATCGAGGAAGCAGCGGGGAAGATGCCGGGTTAATACGTTGTTAATATATAGCGCTACAACTGAGATTTAATCTAACCAAAAGCAAATAAAATACTATTGAGATGAATGTTTCCAAATTAGGATCTAACCTTGCTCTCACGTAAAATAGGCCTAAACAAACATACAAACAAATAAAACGAACGAATGAATGAATTAACATATTGTTAAACTGCCTAAGTCAGTGCAGGGGTAATATGAAACAAACCGCTTAACCTATGTCGGGGCCTACATAGAAATTATTGGTTATTTACTCAGAACTGCTTACTGCTAGTAGGCCTATGTGAACATACTGGAATTGACTGTGGTCCGGTGCTAACAGTCAACACAGAAACGGCTACAGTGAACAGGACACAGTGCAAACAGGAATGAAAGACAACTGTCCAGTGCAAACAGGAATAAAGGACAACTGTCCAGTGCAAACATAAGAGTACGATAGGGTTCAAAATATTCATTTATTCTACAGACTTAAATGCAAACTTCATCAATGTACATATAGGATTATTATTATGATGATGATGATGATGATGATGATAAACAGCAATATTTAATTCTTAATTAATTCTCCGGTTAGCCGTCGGTCCGTAGTAGGAATTCTGTCCTTGATATGGAAATCTCTCTCTCTCTCTGTCTCTCGTTCCCTGGCTCACTACGCACCATGTGACACTGACCCGCTCCGATCGTCATACTGACTGGCCGGGGATCAGCTGATACGTCCTGGGCTTTTTTTTTTTTTAAAACATAATCGTGACTGCGGCAACTGAAGTACATCACTAACCTGCTATCGTACAGAAACCTATTCAGCGAGGGCGAGACTCAGAAAATTACAGAGCATCGAAAACCCGAGGCCACACTGTAACTGCAGGGCGGAAATTGCACGACATTTTATTCCCGGCGATCTGAAATCCTCTAAGCAGCCGCAGCCATGGCGCTCAGCGATGCCGACGTACAGAAACAGGTACTCATTCATTGGCGTATATTTACACCACGTTAACGCGCACATCCGCCTGCTTGTCTGGGGATCACAAGTGTTTGTTTCCTGCATAATCTCGATCCGAAAATGTAACCTTTTATTCGTCCCCCGCAAATCAGCCATCCCTGTCAGTATTTCATTCGGGGCACAGTGATGCTTTTTATTATAGATACATTTTGATCTGTCCTTCTACGCTTGAATTAGATGAATTAGATGGGGGAACAGCTCGGTATAATCTGTAATTTCACACGATGGATGCAGACGGGGTTTCACGCAGTATAACAGGGCTGCGATGAGTGTCAGCTTGACTGTCTCCTCAATCGCTTCTCAGGGATAATATTGGTGGCATCGAGCAAACGTCAGTCCTGCGGAAGATTATGCTTGTAAAACAGCCGTTGTGTCACTGCCTATATTACATATGAATTCACCATAAGATGCACCGCAGAGTGATGCGATTGCTGGGGAGGTTCGTTTAATCACCCGGTTATGTCATGCTGATGCGCGTACAGGCAATAATCCACAAGACCGTAAGAGAAGATAAACAACACTTCCAGTAACACGTTGTGTCTCGATAAGACTTCAGCCCTTAGTTGGCACCGAATTGGGTTCAGTCACGATATTTTGCCGTTTTTTCTTTTCCTTTTTAGTGTCAACTTGTGTCGTTTACTGTGCAGTTTCCTATCTGTGTCGGATATGTTTCATAACGTGTCCTAGTGTATATAACAGTAATTGCTTAGGATTTTCAGGTGGTTTTTGAGTTATACTAGTGATTTACCTGGCACATTTCAAGTAAATCTGCAGAAATGTAGTGCATACAGTGGTCCTGCTGTGCAAGTGTTGTGAGAAATTAATGGTCTGTAATGGACGCCCTGGACTGACCGTGACTCTTTGGTTATGTGTCATCATTCACAATTTCACCTGTATTTTTTACCCCGCCGGAAAGATCAAGCACATGATGGCTTTTATAGAGCAAGAGGCCAATGAGAAGGCAGAGGAGATTGATGCCAAGGTAATATGTTTTCCATATTTAGCAGATGTTCATGGAAAAGTGGCTTCAATTATTTTCAAAAATAAAGTGGTCGAAGTCAGAGTTTACTGTAACAGCTATTTTTAGTCATTTTTAATTCCGCCTATTTCGTATTTTTGGGTATCGTGTAGACTGAGCTTGAGTTGAAAGTGCTTACAAGGGTGTGTGTCTCCCCCTGCAGGCGGAGGAAGAGTTCAACATCGAGAAGGGCCGTCTGGTGCAGACCCAGAGGCTGAAGATCATGGAGTACTATGAAAAAAAGGAGAAGCAGATCGAGCAGCAGAAGAAGATGTGAGTCAGCTGACGTCCATACAGGACGAGACAATTCATCAGACCTTAAAGTGGAAGCATCGTCTGTGTCCAAAGAGGGGATTGCGGAGAAGCAACAGTTACTTAGCCAGTTAAAGAGGGTTTCCTTGTGTTTTTGAGTCCAGAAATGCTGTGTGCTTGTGCTGCTAACATCTCAGCCACTGTGTCCCCACAGACAAATGTCCAACCTCATGAACCAGGCACGGCTGAAGGTGCTGAAGGCTCGTGACGATATGATCATGGTGTGTAGCTTAGACCTTAAGAATAAGCTTCCTGATCGTATACTGATCGCCACCAAAGACCTAATGAGACAGAGGTGTCCTTTTCCTGCTCTGTGTGCCCAGGACATGCTGAACGAGGCTCGGCAGAGACTGGCTAACATCGCCCGAGACCCAGCGCGGTATTCGGTTCTGATGGATGGGCTGGTTCTGCAGGTAAGCCGCCCTGTGTGTTCCGTCTTTTTGGAACCTGTGGGAGGTTCCCCTGTCCAGGCGTGCTGCCCTGGCAGTCTCGCCATCGCTTCCCAAAAGGGATGTTTCTGACACGGTCCCTCTGCTGCAACTTCAGGGTTTGTACCAGCTTCTGGAACCCAAAGTGGCCATCCGCTGCCGCAAACAGGATGTGGCGTTGGTGCAGGTGAGTGTGCTTCGCACCGCGCGGCTTGCAGGGCTGCATGTAGGACTGCAGCAACTGCATTATTTGCATGGGGGTCTGTCTTTTTACAATTCTAGGCTGCGGTACAGAGAAATATTCCTGTCTACAAAGCTGCTGTCAAGGACAACATCGAGGTGCGCATTGACAAGGACAACTTCCTGTCACCTGACATGTAGGTGCCCCTCCCCTCCACCCTTTTCTTGGCTAGAGGTCCTGAAAGTTGCAGGTCTAAATCCCATGCAATGTCCTGCTGTTGTACCTTTGAGATACATTCTGTAATCAAAGGGCGTAGGTTTGGTTTCAACACTGGTACCGACCAGACTAATCCCGAGCTCCCCACCCCCTTAAAATTCTGATCCTTTCAAAGAAAATCCTATGCTTAGAAGGAAAGTGTAAGCTGGGATGTAAGTATTCAAAACAGAAATTCGTATCGTCATTGTGGTTATGACACGGTATAAGTGCGTGTCCTAGTGCAGGCAGTTGTGGGATTGCTGACATTCTGTAAGACGCACGGAGCCGTCCCAAAGGCCCCATGACTGTGTGTCTCCCCAGCTCTGGGGGAATCGAGATCTACAACGCTGATGGGAAGATCAAGGTGTCCAACACCCTGGAGAGCAGGCTGGACCTCATGGCCCAACAGGTACTGTGCAGGGTGACCTTCTACGCCCAGGACGGGCTTTGAGAAGGCCGGGAATAGACGAGTCCCCATGGGGAGAACGGAAAATGCAGATAAACAGCAAAGTAGGACCAGCGGGTCCTGAGAAGCTCAGAAGATCCATTTGTGCCAGATTCATGTTTAGCATCCATGGCTGTGAATGATTCAAATGCCACTCAGAAGGTTAAATCAGAAGGTTATATGGACTAGAGGTCGACCGATATGGGTTTTTTAATCGCCGATGCCGATATTTAGGAGTCAGGGTCAGCCGATGGCCGATATATGCTGCCGATATTTTTTGGCCGAAAATTGGACGTTTCCCCCTCTATTTGCATGATAAAATATCACATTAATAATAACAAACGGTACACAAAATTTCTCAACTTAGCATTTATTGAATACTGACTTGCGTAAATTTCAATATAAACTTAAATAACAAAAACACAACTTGTAAACAACTTAAACTTATAAACAATAAAAATAGCAGCATCAGAATCTCTTTAGCAGCAAACTCCTTCTTCAGCTCCCAAGCTCACCAGCCTGCAGCAGATATCACACCTGGCTTTTCCTGGTGTTGGCTTGGTGAAATGCTGCCATACAGGATTAGATTTTTGTTCAGCCATCAGACAGCAATTACTAAAGCAGAAGAAAAAATGCAAGGTTAGCATTTTTATTATAGTGCCTTCATCTTCAATTCATTCTACAATTCCAGTATTCCATGCACATTAAAACAATTACACTCTAATACATTTTGAAAGAAAAAAAACACTATTAACTAAGTGCACCATGGTGTGATGAGCAGTGTACAAGGCCCAAAACCTTTCACTAACATGTTGTTAGCAGACAGATAGCTTACAAGCCAAATTCACAATCAGAATCTAGCGATCGCGGAAAATAAAATAACTTTGTCGTATTACATAGCCTTGTATGCAAGGATAACATAAGCCCCTAGTGCAGGGTTATTCAACTCACGGTCCTCGAGGTGCGAGCACTGCTGGTTTTCCAGCCTTCCTTTACCTGTCAGTCAGGTGTGAAGCCTCTGACCAATCAGAATCAGCAATTATTAAACAACTACCTGGGGGAACTGAAAACACGGCCTGGATTTGGAATCGAGGTCCAGAGTTGAAGAACCCTGCCCTGGTGATTGTGACGTTGTCGACGTATAAGCCTGTATAGACATGTTTAATGAGGAAACTAACTGCGCAAAGTCATGCACTTTTTATCTAGACGTCTGACAAATTGTTCGAATCTCCGCTCTCAAATGCAAAAAAGTTGCACAGAAGGACCATTGTCAGCATCAGCCCAAGTGAATGGTAACCGCGCTTTTGAACAAACACTTTTCTCCGCCATGCACTGTTCTTAGCAGCTGTGTCTCCGAGGACGGCGCTGTCTGTGATCAGGGCAGAGTAACGCAACTCTCACGCACGCCGCAGTGTTTTAGAGCTGCCTGCTCCACCCCACACAGACACACACACACAGTGAAACTCTCCGACACAAGAAAAAACAGAATTGATAACATCGGGCTGATATCGTAATAATTAAAATGTTAATTTAAATGATTTTTAACGATTAAAAAAACGTCTGTGAGCCCACCAACAAGCACACAAAACTAACTCTGTCAGAATCAATGATCCTTAACGTTACCTGTAAGCTACAGTTGGTTGACGGCTCATTATCATTACGCCAGTTCCCGACAGCGTAATTCACGTTCTCTTTCAAAAGCCCTCGCGTTTTCTTTGAAAGCAACATTTCATAGCAAACCAGTTAAATAAATAGGTCATTGAAAGAACAGAATTTAAGCCTTACCGTTTTCTCCCAAGACACTCACAAAACTTCTGGCTGGGCACAAGGCAGCATGGGTCACGTGTTCCACAGCAACAATAACACTGGGCTGCCCGCAGACATGCCTGTCTGTAAATCGGCATAGTGCACTCGGATATCGGCCATTGCCGATACATCAAATAATGCTAAATATCGGCCCGATATATCGGCCGGCCAATATATCGGTCGACCTCTAATATGGACTGTAGATGTTGATAGAGCAGTTCTTCTCTGCAGATTCAGACTTTAATAATCTCTTCTCTTCTCCTTTTGCCTAGATGATGCCAGAAATCCGAGTGGCTCTGTTTGGGAGGAACCAGAACCGCAAGTTCTTGGATTAACAGACTCTTTTCAGAATGGGTGGTGTCATTTAAAGCACAGTGATGTTTATCAAGGTATCGGTTTCAAGGTCCAGGATTCCATAGCCCATGTATGTTGGGGAGGAAAAAAAGACATTCCTGAATGAAATATAGGTTCCGTTGTTTGCTGCTGTTATTTGTGTGTGTGTGTGTGTGTGTGTGTTTTGAGGTAAAATAAATGTGGAACTTTCATAGCTACCCAAGGCACAGAGCTGGCAGACATGTTGGTTTTCTAAGGCGAAGGCGAGCCCAGACTCTGGATGCTTCCTTAAGTGTCCTGAAGCCTGTGTTGAATATCGATTGGCTGTTCTTTGCCATCCTGTGTAATTTCACTGTAACTCCTGGTGATACCAGGCTGCATGGTAACTGAATATTATTGAATAGTAGGGATTCCCTTCGGTATAAATGAATGTCCTTCTGCATAACACAGTACCCTCTCCACTGCAGGACCAATCCTGGCCCAACTCCAGTGTGCTTCGTTAAACAAATTATTTTATAAAACAAACAACTGCACCACCAATGATGAAATACTCCAGTCAGCTCAATATATTTTTTCTCGATCGTCACTATGTACAGTCAACCCAGCCGTGTTATAAACTGGTAAAATACAAGATTTAACCCCCTTCGGAAAATGTGATCTTAGTGATGTAAGCACCATGTGACCTGCATCTGTCTGCTTTCTGTATTGTACTGTACATTTGTGGAAATTTCATGTATCCTGATGGCAGGAGGGTGCATTCTCATTGTCCACAGCCTCTTTTTAACACTTTTGTTGTGTGTTGGCTATCGGATATTTGTTGAGGTGGAAATAACAACATATTTATGAGACAAAACGTAATTTTTTGTTTGATTGGTCTCCTGCACTCAGTTTATGTTAATATTAAGAAAACAATAATACTCGCTATGAATTTCTGACTTGAAGAAAATGACCAGGAAATAGAGGCAAAGCTTTAAATAGGCAGATACCAGTCAGGGGCCGCCCTCCCAAAGAGGGACAGTTCTGTAATAACAAGGCAAGCGCATTTTTGTACACAATGGTATTTCAAAGTGATGTATTTTAACATATAAAATGAGAGATGACGAGAGTTAAAGAGAATGTTATGCGACAAAATAAATATAAGAAGCGCTTAATCTGAGAAATTAATGGCAAAGACAAACAAAGTCTTTGGTTCCATCAAGGTTCAGATTCCAGCATCATCATGGTGGGGAAAAATGAATACAGTCACTGCATCAGAGCAGATTTATTTAGTTGAAAAATAACTATTTTAAATCACGCACCGACTCCCTCTGGTGGTGAAAAGTGTCCATTGCGGGATGCCCGGGTGTCCAGCTCCCAGCCACCAGCACAGCTGATTTCAAAAGCCGCCATCTGCTGGCCTTAATGACAAAGGCCGTTGGCCAGTTCGGCACTCGCTCGCCAGAACGGCCTTAATGTTGTGTTTTGTGTTTCTGTTTTTTTCTTTCAGACAGACACCAACTTCTGCCACAGATAAGTACATAACCCCCCCCCCCCCGCTGCCCCCATCTATACGTAGCTTTCTGTCAGACGTCCAGAGAAATTCTGGGTACAGCAGGATGGTTTTTCTGCTCCCCCTCCTCCATTCAGCCTAATCCCTTAAGTGGCCACAACGGGAACAAACAGACTCACACCCACGAGTTTAAATTATGATTCAGCTGGGGGGTGGTGGGTGAATCACATGTGACTGACTTCTGCACATAGTCACTGGATCTGTCTCACATGTATGAGTGCTGCGGGGGCTGTGGTGGGGGTGGTGTTGTTAGTGGGGGCCTGACTGTGTGTGGGGACCATGGCGGAGTCTCACACACACACACACACACACACACACACGGGCAGGCATGCCACGGCCCGGTGACAGCGTAACAGCATCTGACCGGTGATGACAGCCATGCACCCGTGTGATTCTCAGGCCCAGCGAATACCACCCTGCGGGTTTTGCCGTAGGACAGTGTGTGTGTGTGTGTGTGTGTGTGTGTGTGGGGGGGGGGGGTAGCGGCCGTGTGAGGGTTTTCTATAGAGCCTGAAAGCTTCCCTCCCGGTCGCTCACGCAGCCCCGGGGTGCGACAGCTGCCGCGATCGTGGCTCCGGCTGCGCAGCCGGCCGTGAAGGGCTGCGGGGAAAGGGGGCCGGCCTCCTGCACGTCTCCCAGGCAACCCCGCTCTCCCCGGCCCAGTGAGTCTGGGCTTGATGGGTGAGGGGGGGGGGCAGGCCATGGAGGCAGGAGCTCCCCTGTGAAAGAGGACAAGGGGAGAGGGATTCAATCACGCAGCAGGACGTGGCCGGGGCGGGGGGGCCACACCGACTGATTCTGTGTTTACACAAGTGCCCCATCCCAGCGCCGACCGCCAAAGCGAGGAGAGTGTGTGACTCCTGGGTCATGTGGGAAACGTAACAATGTGCGACAGCCGTCCCGCCGTGGGTCAGCAAGGGCCCGTCCGGAGCCCGAGAAGGTGTGGGACAGACCCATCAGCCGCCGCACATTATTCTCCTGCCGGGATGACTGACACGCAAGACAGCATGACAGAAATGAGAATTTGAATGAGAAGATGAAAGTACGTCCCTTTGTCCGTCGCTTCCTGACCCCAGGGATACGCGGCTCGGGACCGACACATACGGAGGGAGAGGTCACCTGACTGTCTGCCAACCTCTGCTCCCAGGTGTCTCAGACCGGCAGCCTGGGCCAATCTGCCCCTCGCCCCCCCCCACCCCCAGCAGGCTCTCTCCATCTTCACAATAGTGTACCGCAACTAAATATGTTCACAGAACCATCTCGATTGCTATCTTCCATTCTAGCACAGCAGAATACACTGCAGCGCTTCTATATTCATCTGCTTCCTCTTTGTTCATCATTCTTCTCTTCCTTTGGGGGTCCTCTCTTTTCCAGTTGGTCAGCCATAATCTCCTCTCTCTATTTTTTTTCTCCCTCTTTCTCCCCTTCTCCTCCTCACTCAGCTGGCCTCCTCTCCATTCCCTCTGGGCCCCTCACACCTTTCTGACTGGCCACCCTTTGCCACTACGCCCCCCCCCCCCCCCCCCCCCCAAATACCCCCCCTTGTTGAGTCTGGCCCACACCGGTGCCCAGTGATGTTCAGTGCCTCCCTTTCAGGCCGATGCTCCCATTGGCTACCGAGCCCCAGGTCACTCCCCCAAAGCTGCAGCCCACTGCCCATTGGCCGTCCTTCAAAATCTCCATTTAGACTGGTAATTCTGGTAAATCGGGACTCACCCCTCACATAAAACGAATCACGGAAAATGACATGCCTGTGTCGGGTGCCATCAGGTGAAGCCCTCATACTTGTGCATGAATGTCGACAGATCCACGGTTATCAACAATGGCCACCTTGGGTAATGTCACAAGAAGTCAGGGGCGCTAAGCTAACATGCTAACTTATTCTGCTGCTATTCCCCTTATCTATCGTCAAGTGCTCGATAGAGTGGGGTTAATTACTGATCAAACTATTTTTATCTATTTGTTAATCTATCTATCTATATCTATCTGTCTATTTGTAATATTGGGGTACATTCTGGATCATTCCCCATTTCATCTTGGTTGAATGTTTTTAATATATAAAATGGAGCATTGATGTGTTTAGCCGTGTCTTGTCAGTCTACTGTCACTGGCACTCATTCCTGACTCCTTAGACTGCATTAAGGGTTAATGCTTGGAGCCCCCGGATAGCCCCTAGCTGAGCCAGAAGACCAATGGCAAACAGAGGGTAAGAGATAGGGCACCCCCCACCCTCTGAGGTCAATGGTGTCAGGTTACGACCAGTCACTTCATCAACCTGTTTGCTGGAGTGCCTGCATGTAATTGGACACCGCATGACCTGCAGCAAGCCAATCAAAAACAAGCAAAAAATCTAAAAGACCCGTAAAACTTGCCACAAGTGAAAAATCTAGCGATCAAAGGGCTTAAAGGAAAAAAAGTAGGTAGAGGACAAGCGAGACAAGGAAAAAATGATGCAGTTCAGCTGTTTGTGATGCATGCCGTAAGATGAGCATGTTTCTGAGTGGTGCACATTGATGACTGAAGCAGGCGATCACGGAAAGGAATGAAATGAATCTTAAACATAATTAAGACAAATGTCTGCAGTAATGCAAACGATCTGCTTCTCTAGTCCACACATAAAATATAGAGACTCCTGGAGAGCCAGACAAGGGCCACACTGACTCTAGCAAGAGATGAATCCCAAGCTCTACAAGCTAAAACAAGGCTTCATCACTGCTGACCTGAGCAGTGCTAGAAATCGTGAATCATCTTAGAAAACCAGACCTTCATGCCACTGGGAACAGAGATCACACATCCTCCTGTTAAGCTGCTTCTTCACGCCCCCAGGATTGTGGGTTCGATGCCCACTGCTTCCTCTATGTGTAGGAACCTCACTGTGAATTTGCGTGGGTTGCCATGTGTGGTACAAAAACATGCAGTTTAGGGGAAATGATTACTCTGTTTTACCCCTACTGTTTGACAGGATGTGTGCATGCACCCTCCAAAAGACTGGCATCTTGTACTGGGTGTATACCAGCATTTTGCCCTGTGGTACCAAAGACTGGCTCCATACACTCATATACCCCATGCAGATCAAGATAGACCATTAAAAGATGGATAGATGGATGGATGGTTGGATGGATTGTGTGAGTGTGTCCCTTGTAATTGGCTGAGTATCCCATGCAGGGAGTCTCCCGCCTCTTGCCTTCTGCATTCCGGAACAGGATCCAAGCTCTTTTGCTACTTGCATTGAATAGGCAGTTGTTGAATGTGAGTGGATGGACTGATACTAACAAAAAATGATCATTAACTCATTACCTCATCAAGGGTGGTATGTGGCTTAGCTGGTAACAGTGGCGTGCCTATCATCGTAAGGTCGCTGGTGTGATCCCAGGTGACGGTGGCGTGCCTATCATCGTAAGGTCGCTGGTGTGATCCCAGCTAACGGTGGCGTGATCCCAGGTAACAGTGGCGTGCCTATCATCGTAAGGTCGCTGGTGTGATCCCAGCTAACGGTGGCGTGCCTATCATCGTAAGGTCGCTGGTGTGATCCCAGGTAACGGTGGCGTGCCTATCATCGTAAGGTCGCTGGTGTG